CCCAAGCTCTTTTTCTACGAAATGACCCCTGCCCCTCACTATCTTCGTTGCTCTCCTCTGGACATGTTCCAGCTTGTCTATATCCTTCTTAAATTGTGGTGTCCAAAACTGAACACAATATTCTAGGTGAGGTCTAAGCAGAGCAGAGTAAAGTGGTACCATCACATCTTGTGATCTGGACACTGTACTTCTGTTGATACAGCCCAAAATCTCATTTGCCTTTTTAGCAGCCACATCACACTGCTGACTCAGGTTCAGTGTATGGTCTACTTAGACCCCTAGATCCTTTTCACACGTAATATTGCCAAGACAAGTCTCCCCCAACCTATAATTATGCATTTAATTTTTCCTACCTAAATGCAGAACTTTACATTTATCACCATTGAAATTCATTAAATTTCTTTTAGCCCAGTTTCCCAGCCTGTCAAGATCATCCTGTAACCTGACTCTGTCTTCTACTGTATTTGCTACCCCTCCTGATTTAGTATCATCTGCAAATTTAATAAGCATTCCCTCTATCCCTTCATCCAAATCATTGATAAAGATGTTGAACAAAACAGGTCCCAGAGCAGATCCCTGAGGAATTCAAGGATTAACAAAAGTTTCTTGTTACGTACAAACATGGTATCATGGGTAACAGCATATCACATGTATGTCTGGCAGTACCGCAGCTTCCAAGCCTGCCCTACAACATGCTGGCACAGCCAGCCTTACATCTCAGAAGCAGTGAGACAACTATGTGGGATTGAGCTCCAGATCTGCCTTTCCACAACCGTGCTTTGGGGACATAACAAGACAACCTTCTTTTGATTGCTATGTGTAATGATGGAGTGAGAATTACAATGTCCCTGTACCTTTAAGAGTAGGAAGACATGAAAGTGAATGTGGAGAAGTGCTAGTGACAGGCACCAAAAGACAGAACATTTTTGAGCCACTCTTGCCAAATGTCCCTGTAGCTATGACAGCCATGGAGCACTGGCAGGAATTAACCCATGATACCATGTTTGTAGATAACAAAAAACTGTGGATAATAAACCAGCTTCACATC